GTGGAGGAAAGTGCTGTTAAGTCACAGAGGACTTATGGCAACCCTAAAAGGTTTTATAAGGCAAGAGATGTTGGGAGGTGGTTTGCCATTGCCTCCTTCTGCGTCACCACCCTGGACTTCCTTGGAGGTCTCCCATCCAAACACTGACCAGGGGCAACCCTGCTTACTTTCTGAGATCTCACAAGGTTGGGCTAGCCTGGGCAATCCAGGTCGACTGGGAAGACCCAAGTTCAAATCCCCACTCTGCCACAGAAAGTTGCCGGATGATCTTGGCCCAGTGACAACCTTGGGTTCAACCTAACTTGTCTGGTGTACAAAGATATAGCCCAGTGACAACCTTGGGTTCAACAACCTAACTTGTCTGGTGTACAAAGATATGAGAAGAAGACCCTGCAGGGGACAGCAGGAAGACATTTAGATAGGATAGTGAGGTCAGCACCTTCTCTCCTGTCAAGTGTCATTCCTTGTCTGTCTCCAGATCGCTACTCTTAGGGCAATTCCCTCCTTCTTCTCAGAAGTTCCACACTTAGTGTCTCCCTCTCTCTCAGCTAGAGATATAGTTAGGACCCTATCTCTGTCTCTCCTCTTTACTATCAAGTATTTTAGTTCCTTAACAAACCTTTATCTACATTTTAATCAGGTTATGCACCACTGCCGTGTTATTTACTCTGCCAACATAACCTACCTCACAGGGGTGCTGTGAGGGTAAAATCGAGGGAACTCCAATGATATAAACACCTTTCTCCCCATTTGGGAGAGAGGTGAAGTATGAATGAATTAAATAAATAATTTCTGCTGCAATCTTATGCAGAAGCTCATGAGCAAGTCCCACAGAGAGCCAGTGTGGTGTAGTTGTTAAGAATGGCAGACTCTAATCTGGAGAACTGGGTTTGATTCCCCACCGCTCCTCCACATGAGGCCTGCTAGGTAACTTTGGGCCAGTCACAGTCCTCTCAAAACTCTCTCAGCCCCACCTACCTCACAAGATTCCTGTTGTGGGGAGGGGAAGGGAAGACAATTGTAACCCGTTTTGAGACTCCTTAAGAATACCAGGGCCCTGACACAGAGGCAGGCAATGGCAAACCACCTCTGAATGTCTCTTGCCTTAAAAATAAGTCTAGCTCACCACCTAGTGGTGAATAACGCTAAAAAAGAGCTAGAACTTCTAGCTGCCAGACAATCTTAGGATCTCCTGGCTATTCTACACACAATGCCAGATTATAATAACAATAATAGGGTAGAGAAAAGTGGGGTATAGAAGAAGAAGAGATTGGATTTATACCCTGCCCTTCACTACCCAAAGGTGTCTCGGAGCGGCTGACAAACTCCTTTCCCTTCCCCTCCCCACAACAGACACCCTGTAAGATAGGTGGGGCTGAGAGAACTCTTGACAGAAACTGTTCTTTTTTAAGAACAGCTGTGCCAGAGTTATGGCTTACCCAAGGTCATCCAGCCAGGTGCAAGTGAAGGAGTGGGGAATCAAACCCGGTTCTCCCAGATTTAGAGTTTGTGCACTTAACCACTACACCAAACTGGTATAAAATCCATCAAAGATGAAGGTCCTGTGCCTGAGCCATGGAGGGATGGAATTGGGAATCCAGCTCCCAACAATTGGTGGGGGTCATTAATGCCAACGCTAGTGGTGAGGAGTCTGGGCGTGATCTTGGGTGCCTCACTTTCAGTGGAGACCCAAGTCATGAATGTTGCCAGATCAGCTTTTTGCCATCTTCAGCTGGTCAGGCAAATGGCTTCCTAGCTCTCTCCTCGTGACTCAGCCACAGTGATCCATGCAATGGTCACCTCCAGACTGGACTACTGTAGCTCGCTCTACACAGGGCTGCCCTTGAGATTGACCTGGAAACTTCAGCTGGTCCAAAATACAGTAGCACGTGTCCTTACCGGGACACCTCTAAGAGCGCATATACAACCAATGCCCCGCCAGCTGCATTGGCTCCCAGCTGAGTACAGGATCAAGTTCAGGGTTATGGCAGTAACCTTTAAAGCCCTGTGCGATCTGGGACCAACATATCTGCAGGACCGTTTCTCCCAATATGTCCCCCAAAGAGCTCTGCGCTCAACAGACCAACATATGCTGGTGATCCCTGGCCCCAAAGGCATCTGCTTAGCCTCGACCAGAGCCAGAGCCTTTTCAGCTCTGGCCCCGGCCTGGTGGAACACTCTCCCAAGCGAGATCAGGGCCCTGCAGGACCTATTACAGTTCTGCAGGGCCTGCAAGGCAGAGATGTTCCACCAGGCCTTTGTTTGAGGTGGCGGATGTCCAATTACATCGGCCTCCCCTGCTCCATCCTGCTTATGTTGTGCTGTTGTGGGTGGTTTTGCCCACTTGCCCAGTATTCAGTCCATCTTGGGGCCGGGCACACATACAGATGGTATTCTTTGAGAGCAGTTATAAGTGTGCCTGATCGCCATCTTCTGAGCTGTGCTTTCTGTTTTAAATAGGTTGTAAACATCGTGGAACTATATTCTAATAGTTTTAATTAGTTTATAATTATTTGTTGATACACACCTTGGTAGGGTTGCCAGGTCTGAGTTGGAAAATACCTGGAGACTTTGGGGGTGGATCCAGGAGAGGGCGGGGTTTGAGGAGGGGAGGGGCCTCAGCATGGTACAATCCCATAGAGTCCACCCTTCAAAGCAGCCATTTTCTCCAGGGAAGCTGATCTCTGTCAGCTGGAGATCAGTTGTAAATAGGGCTGCCAGGTCCCCCGGGAGGGCGGAGGTTCCCCCATTAAAAGGGTCCCCAATCCGCCAGTCCAGAAAAGGCTGGTGGGGGGAGCACCGCTCCCAAAGTGCCCGGTTCAGGCCAACATGCCCATAGAGCTTCCAGGCTGATTGCTAGAGCGTCAGCTGGTGACGTCATCACGGTGCACGCGCGCGAATGTCCCAGACAGGGATCAATTCTCCCCCATTATTAGTGGTAAGTGACTTGACAAAACTAGTTGTAAAAGCGGGAGATCACCAGGCCCCACCTGGAGGCTGGCAACCCTACACCCTGAGCCCCACTGCACAGTGGAGGGTGGGCTAGAAAAAGAGAGAGAGAGGGAGAGACCTCTTCTCTTCGACACTGTTATAGTTTCCATCAGAGTAAATATGACGTATGGTCACACTAGCGCAGGGGTGTCAGACATAAGGCCTGGGGGCCGGAACTGGCCTTTCCAGGGCTCTTATGTGGCCTGCGAGCAACTAGTGCAAGGGAGGGAACAGGAGACTGCTCGGGGGGGTGGGGGGAATGGGCCACTCCAATTGTGGCTTCAGCATGGCGGAACAACCTCGTCTGCAGCAGTCAAGCAGCGTGGGAGTGTTTGCCCAGGGTTGCACCGCTGGCTCTCCAGCCCGCCCATAAGGCTTTTCCTTTGCACCCCCCTCCCAGCCCATGAGGCCTTGCAGTGAGGATACACCAACTTGGAGCTTACCAGCTGCTGTCCTTTATACAGTTTCTCTCTCCTGTACCCGGCGTTACGTTTATGGCACACGTGGCCCAGCCCGACAAGGTGACATTTATGTCAGATCTGGCCCTCATGACAAATGAGTTTGACACCTCTAGTTTTCAAGGCAAAATATATTTAGAGGTGGTCTGCTGTTGCCTGTCTTGATGTAGCGATTCTGGACTTCCTGGGCCTCAGGGGAGCCTCCGGGTGCCAGCGGGGGCCGTAGGGTGCTCCTGCTGTCTGTTGGGGCCTCTGAGATAGTCATGGCCAGCTCCACAGGGCTAGGGTTCGCCCCCCGACCCGAACATATTTTCCTTCCTGAGAAGGCCGTGGCCAACTTGGGAGCCAGCCGGAACTCCGTTCCTGTGCGGTCCTGCCCAAAAATAGCCCTGAGTTTGACACCACTGCACTAGCAGTTTTTAAAATTAGGTAATAGCCTTCACTTTGGAATTTCATCACTCTTTCATCATACGCCTGAACACACATTCTACCTGCAGGCCAAAGTTTGAGTCCAGCAGCACTTTTGAGACCAACAAAGTTTTAGTCAAAGTGTAACCCCCTGCGTGATCTGGTCCATGGGGTCGCGAAGAGTCGGACTCGACTGTGCGACTGAACAACAACAAACCCCCTGCCCTTTGTTCCTGTACCCAGCTTTTGAGATTTTATTCCAGTTTTGTTTGAAGAAGTGTGTTTTGTACACGAAAGCTTACACTTTGAATAAAACTTTGTTGGTCTCAAAGGTGCCACTGGACTCAAACTTTGTTCTGCTGCTTCTGACCAACGTGGCTACCCAACCCACCTGATTCTACTTACAACCCACAACTCGAGATCTCAGCATCCCGGACACGGAGGCAAAGTCTGCTCGCGCTGTCTCTTTAAGAGGAGGAGCCTCCGCCTCCCCCTGCATTGGCGGAAGTCGCTGGAACTGGAATGCTGCGAATGGTTTTGGTTCTCCCGCGGCGTTCTCTGGCATAATTGCAGAACCCCCTCGAAGGCCACGTGGAGTCGTGACATCTTGACGAGGAAGCGACAGAGAGAGCAGAGGTCCGGCCTCGCAACTGAGAGCCGGGATGCCATCTGTGCCAAGAGATGAATGAACGAGTCGATTTCCGAAACAGCAACCTGGGCGGGAGATCAAAGCAGCAAAGGACGCGATCTTGGGATGAGCGGAGTTCAGGCAAGCCCCGGTCAACGCGCAGCGGGGCGGAGGAGGGGACCGGCGAACTTGCGTCGTTTTAGAGAAGACTGATGAGCTTCGCGTCTCCAAGCGTCATTAATCCTGCTAGAAATCAGGCCTGCCCCATCCAGGGCGCCCTCATAGGCGAAGAAACGTGTAATACAGCCTAGAGAGACACGTTTTGGATCGTGTTATGTAAATGCAGATTTGGGTAGTGACATGCTCAGAGGGCGGGCGGGGACGGCTTTTAATTGCAGTAGCGCGTCCTTCTTTGATGGGTATATCACCTGTCGGTTCTTTACCTCCAAGCTCTTTGTTCCAGGGATGATTCTCAAGTGTTTCCCACAGGGCTGAGAGTTTAATCAGCATGTTTCCCACAGGGCTGAGAGTTTAATCAGTGGCTTCACCTTCCCTCTGGATGTCTCCGATCCAGATGACTCGCTGGCAATTCACTGCCCGGATTTTCCTTTCTAGTGTCAGAATTCTGCGTTGGAGAAAGTTGCAGTGTTTTGGAAGGAAAACGTGGGGGCCACAGCCTGCCAGGTTCCTGTCTCGCCAGGCACATGGCTGGGTCCCATCCAAATCCTTGGCAAAGATCACTTTAGCATTTTGCGGGATTGGAGGGTCGTTTGGGAGTGTGAGATGTGAATGTATACCCTGCGAGGGAGCCTGTATAGAAGTAGATGTACACATTAGTAATGGTTATGGTGGCGGACCCTCGAGTAGTTTCCTCCAGCGTATTGCGGCGGCCGTTTCCCTAACCCTCCGTGTCTGTCTTCTGTTGCTGAAGTTCGGCCCTTTGCTTTGGCTTTACCCAGTCACCTACCTGTCTTCCAGTTTTGCATCTTTCTGGTTCCACCTTCTGCTAAAGGCCACGGAATCCTCCGGCCCCAGTTACATTAAGCTGGGCCAGTGGGCAAGCACGAGGAGAGATCTCTTCTCGGAGGAGTTCTGCACCAAGTTCTCCAGACTCCACATCCAGGTGGCCCCTCATCCTTGGACTTACACCCAGCGTTCTCTGTGCAACGCCTTTGGAGAAGGCTGGGACCAGATCTTCCGTTTTGAAAGCCAGGAACCCATCGGCTCTGGCTGTGTCGCCCAGGTATATAAAGCATACGTGGACGTCTCTGTCCTCGGAGAGCCGCTGCGTAAATATCTCTCAAAGAATGCTGCTGTGGATTCTGTTTCGGAAGCCTGGCAGGTGTCTGGGATCAAGGGACTCTTCAGGTGGCTTTGGAAGAACCAGCAGGAGGAATCTTCAAAAGCAGATGGGGCCCATTGTTTGCCTGGGGAAGATGGTCGACATGGAAGTGAGAATTGGAGCAAGCATCTTCCGGAGCAGATGTCCAGATATCCCAGCATGCTGTCATCCTCTTCCGGAAGGAATCAGCTTGTCCCAGTAGCCATTAAAGTAAGGAATCCAATCCGGCGCAAGATCATATGCTTGTAAGATAAACAGTGTGGTGTAGTGGTTAGACTAAGGCTTCCACGTTCAGAGTGGGTTTTCCAAACCAGGTCTCCCAGATCCTACACCAACCCTCAGTCTAACCACTACACCACACACTCAGACCAATGTTCCCTCTAAACTGTGAAGTCTTGCGAGCAAAAATTCTACTTTGTGAGCTACTGGCATTAAAGTTGTGAGCAAGCAGTCTGGCTGCTGCGTAAATGAGTTTGCTCTGGAGCCATCCTTCCTGAGCTAGGACAAAATTGTGTGCGCCGGAGACTAAAAAACTGTGAGCTCGCTCACACTAACTCATCTTAGAGGGAGCACTGACTTAGACTAACTTATCTCACGGGGTTGGCAGCCAGGACATTCAGGTAAGAGAATGAGAAGGTGTTTATATCTTTTCTGCTATCCACAGGGGCTAATACTGCCAACACATATTAGTAAACCGTAATGCAAATTTAACTACAGCAAACTTATTCATAATACAGGGCACTGGGAAGAGCTAAATTACTCCAAGACTCTTGAATGCCGTCTGCCCTAAGAGCCAGGGAGGGCCCTCGAAATACCTCCAGAGCCCAGTTCAGGTGGGTTTCCCTAGGCAAGGTGTTCCATAATATTCATTAGCTATAACAGTGACAGCAGCTCAAGTGCCAAGGATTGTTTTGGTGAAATGAGGCTGTTGGTTTCCCCAATTAATGTATTAATTGATAATGAATAAAAATGACTGGGGCATAACCCACTAGAAAGCTCTGTGCAGGCCCATCATACTGAACTGAAGCTATACTAGAACACTACAGCAATCTGTTTACTATAAAGATACGCTGATTAATGTCTCCAGGTCTGTTTTCACCTGCATGTTTTGTTCTGGTTTTCGGACATCATCTTCTGTTTGTCCTGTTTCTATGTTTTGTCCCTTTTCACTGTGATACTTCCCAAGCCAATTTTGGATTAATCTTTCTAAAAAGATTGATGTCAGAGTGCCCTTAGACGCCATGTGCATGGGAAGGTGTGCATTTTTGCAGGTCCTTCTCACATCAACACCATTTTCCTTAAGTCTCTGTGGCCACTGCCCCCCCCCCCCAAAAAAAAACAGAAGACTTGGGGGGAGAAAAGGTAATAGCTAGATCACTATAGTACTACGGTGTTACAACACTCTATTGCAAACTAGTTTCCAGTTTTCTTTTTTTTAAGTAAGTCTCCGGCCTTTTTCCTTGCAGAGTTAAAAGGGGGAAGGTACTGGTTGCACATTTCTATTTCTAGCTCTACAACGAAAAGGGTTAGAGACTTAACTTCTGAAAAAAATGATATCTGGGGGCTTTTGTATTGTTGCAGTGGATGGTTATAGTGCTATATCTATTCGTAGAATAGAATAATAGAATCATAGAGTTGAAAGGGACCGCCGGGTCATTGAGCAATCCCCTGCACAATGCAGGAAATTCACAGATACTTCCCCTCTACACCTCCAGTGACCACTGTTCCATGCCCAGAAGTCACCAAAATAACCTTCAGGATCCCTGGCCAAACTGGCCTGGCGAAAAATTGCTTCCTGACCCCAAAGTGGCGATCAGCATTTCCCCTGGCGTGTAAGAAAGGGCCACAAGAACTAAGCACTGATGCAACCCTTCCTGCCCTCCCTCTCATGATCTGCCTAATCCCAAGTTTGTGAGTGGTTCATAGAATAATCATGATCCTTATGTAATGACTGGCTTGTGGATGTTATATTAGTATGTATTTGGTGCCCAAAGAATTTATCTGTCTTCATGTATTCTGTGCCTAGGTGCTGCATCCTGGATTAGTTCATCAGGTTGAAATGGATCTCTTTCTGATGAAGATAGCTAGCCGATTCATTGAGCTTTTTCCCGGACTCAAATGGCTCAGTCCAACTGAAATTGTGGAGGAGTTCGAGAAACTCATGACTCAGCAGGTAGGAAGACGTTCTGTAGGGAGCAGGAGACCTGCTTTTCATTTGGTGCTGGTTCACTAGCCAGATTTCAGGAATGTGTGTTTGCTGAACTGCCTTCAGGGGCAGAGATCATTCTGTCCTGTTGTGCGTATGCGAGAGTGTATATGTTTAATAGAAAATGTATAACACAATATTCTTCACCACCATTTTTTGAATTGGTGAGCCAAATTAAAATATTTAAAACCATAGCACCCAGCAATATTGAACACCAGCATACAAAACGATTGAACCACAACACATTTTAATGAATTTCCAGTCAGCTGTGCAGTAATTAAAATGTCATTAAAGCAGCACTCGGATACATCTCACATAACACAGCACAGATAAAATGGCTGAATCTTGATCTAAGTAAACTGATAAAGCGATCTAAGGGGAAAGGGGGGGGGAATGGAAGAGGCCTGGGTGAAAGACATGTTTTAACTTGTTTATGGAAGGTTTAATGTACAACATTATCCCTTATGTTTATGACCAGTTACAGGGGTTTTTGGTATGTTTTTCCCATTGACATGCACATTTTATGTCCATGGAGTTTACAAGCTGGTGGGCCAAAGGGCTTAAAAAAAAAAGGCCAAAATAAATTTAAAACAGTGACTGATAGAGAGAGATATTAACAAATGATGGAGGAGTGTATCTTATTCTGTTCTCCCACCTCCCTTTAGAAACAAAAATAAGAACTACCTCTCCTGGTATGTTCCCCAAAGAGCACTTTGCTTGGCTGCTAACAACTTGCAGGTGATCCCTGGCCTGAAGGCCGCCTGGCTATCCGCGACCAGGGCCTTTTTGGTTCTGGCCCCAACCTGGTGGAATACTCTGTCCAGTGAGACTTGGGCCCTGCAAGATTTGAAACCATTTCACAGGGCCTGCAAGAAGGAGCTGTTCCATCAGGCACATGGTCAAGGAGGAGTGACGGCTTCCCACCTTGGACCATCTCCTGAACTGCCCTTTATTGTGCCATCTAGTGAGGAGTGAATATTATGATGGTTGTGATTGTTGTGACTGTTGATTTTAACTTAAGTTTATATAATTGCAATGTTGATTTTAAATGTTGTGACCTGCCCTGAGCTCAACTGTGTACATAAGAACATAAGAGACGCCAATGTTGGATCAGGCCAAAGGCCCATCCAGTCCAACACTCTGTATCACACAGTGGCCAGAAATACCAATGCCATCAGGAGGTCCACCAGTGGGGCCAGGACATTAGAAGCCCTCCCACTGTTGACCCCCCCCCCAAGCACCAAGATGACAGAGCATCACTTGCCCCAGAGCCCCTATCTATACCTTATGGCTAATAGCCACTGATGGACCTCTGCTCCATATGCCTATCTAATTCCCTTTTGAAGCCGTCCATGCTTGTAGCCATCACCACTTCCTGTGGCAGCGAATTCCATGTGTTAATCACTCTTTGGGTGAAGAAGTACTTCCTTTTATCCGTTCTAACCCGACCGCTCAGCAATTTCATTGAGTGACCACAAGTTCTTGTACTGTGAGAAAGGGAGAAAAGTACCTCTTTCTCTACCTGCTCTAT